CATTTTTGTGTTAATGTGATATTATTATTACGAATTCTTAATTGATATAACTTGATGCTGTATCATAAAATAACCAGTACAATTTTTCGTTATCCACGTGTTAATTTATTGCTTCCAAATAAACTTCCCTTAAGTAATATCCGTCTACACATTCACAACTATATCATATAATACATACATACATACATGCATACATACATACATACATATATATATATATATATATATATATATATATATATATATATATATATATATATATATATATATATATATATATATATATATATTTCAGCGTAATTTTTTAATTTGTACATGTTTCATTCAGTGTGGCAGAAACGAAACGATTTATTTTCTATTCAAATTTTGTAAGGGTCTTACTGTGTAGAAAATATCTCCAGTGATTATTGCTCCAAGAGTTTTCGAATAATTTTGTAACCCTTATCAAGGGGTTCATTATTATTATACATTTTTGTGTTTACATTCTCTATGTAAAAAAAAATTATTTAAAATAAAAAACCCATCTATCTATCTATCTATCTATCTATCTATCTATCTAGTGGTTATATATGTTTTTACGCATCTGTCATAGTCCCTTTTTTAGTCATATTTAGTTGTCTTTTCGTAACATTCTATCTCTCTATATATCTTAGTCATATTGCATGTATTTGTATTTTGACGTCTATCTATCTGTCTATCATTTTTTTAACATTTCCCCCCAAGCAAAACATAAATGTCACTAGCACTCAAGGGGCTACTGTGATTTGGAGCAAGAGTAAAGAATACCTGGAGATTATAGGTATCTCTCTCTCTCTCTCTCTATCTATATATATATATATATATATATATATATATATATATATATATATATATATATATATATATATTGATAGCTACTTAGCTATCGTTATGTATCTCAGTCTCTATGCCATTTTTTTCGGTCGGTCTATCTATATATATATATGCAATTGCTCCGAGGAGCTGCATTCGCTGGTTCCCAGACTTCATGAGTTCAAGCGCCCTACGAGGCTGGCATCCCGCTCTCACCTCTTCACTGTCGAAACTCCTAAATGTAGCCGTCTCTTCTACTCCAATAGCTTCATGTGTCGCACCCCTCGCCTTTAGAACTCCCTTCCCTATTCCAGTTTCCCTGAGAGCTATAATCTCCAGCTATTCAAATGTAATGTCAATCGACATCTCCAGTTGACTTGATCTATCCACTACCCTTCTCCTCATCCTTTCTTCTATTACTTCAATGCGATCATGCTTCAAACTTTCTGTAACCCCTTGCGTCCTAGTAGCTTCCCACTTTTCTTGAGGTGAAACGCTTAAATATATATATATATATATATATATCATCCCATGTAGTAAAACCTACGTAGATAGTACGTGGTTCATTAGGATTTATTTATTTTTCTTTTGCTCTATTTAATGTATTCAGCACTCTTCCTTTTTCCAATATTACTCGCTGTTTTTCTTTCTTTGTCCCAGAAATTTAAGGTCCTGGACGAATTCTTTCGGCTTGTTTCGAAGGTTCTGGTGCTTTCTTTTTGCCATTTTGCCTCGGATGTCAATTTATTTGAAAATTTTGCTATCCAGACTTTTTTCACCCACCGTGTTGAAATGATTTCAATTATATGGAAAATATATATATATATATATATATATATATATATATATATATATATATATATATATATATATATTTATTTTTAAAAATTATAACATAAATATGTTATAAAATCACTACTGTAGTAGTTGTAGTGATTTTATAACATATTTATGTTATAATTTTTTAAATAAATAATTATATCTGCTCTATCTGTATTGAGCACTCATTTAAGAATAGTAATTGTTCGTTATTGGAATTTATTCCGTATACACCAATCATATACTTGGGTGTCTATATATATATATATATATATATATATATATATATATATATATATATATATATGTATGTATGTATGTATGTATGTATGTATAGATAGATAGATATTTCTATTCATCACTATTGTAAGCACCTCAGCCCAAAGGTATTGTAAAGGAAGCTGGTAAGTTTAATAATTACTAGTGAGTTTGATCTTACCTGTGTTCCCAGGTATATGATTCGATATTAAATAAAGGGTTGACATGTAAGCTCTAGCCACAATCTATCTCCAGTTTTTATATATATATATATATATATATATATATATATATATATATATATATATATATATATATATATCAAAATCTAGGCTGTAATAGTGGGGGGGTAGAAGGAGAGGGAGAGAGAGAGACTCTGTGTGTGAGAGTGAGAGAGAAGATGTAAATAATTATCTGGCAATGTTGAATACATACATACAAACAGAAGATAGGGGTATACGAATATATAAGGTTTCTCGGGTCACATTATCTATTACACGCGTATCAGGAAATCATTCTACCGGGAAATAGAGAAAGTAATTTTCCCCAAAAAATTGTCCCTCTCTAATTAACGCAGTAAGTTTTGCCGAGC